AATCTAACTTGGGTATCCACAGTAGCTCTACAACTATTTCCTAAGACCCTCGTGAAGCTCGGGCAAATTTGTTAAATCCATTTAAAATCTCGATGAAGCATTTTATTTCCTTTAAGCACTCTGACAAGTGTTCAGTCGTTGTATGCAATTTGTGTTATCAGAGATTAGGAAGGTATTTTACGGCTAAGTAGGGCATTTATATACTAGGAAACCCTTGGGATTTCCCGAGGTTTTGCTTTAGTATCATCTTAATGTACTTGCCGCTTGAAAGCTAAATGGCCGCCGAAGTGCACCAAGCAAGATATATAATAATTTTGTAACGTATACGATGTGTTTACATTGAGGTCATTTCAGCTATAACAAGCGAGAACTCTCCAACGAAGGTTCTCCTTCATACCGTAAAGGATCAGAAACAATAAATCTAAGATTATTCTTAAAAGGGATAATTTATTGTATGCGAAGTGAATGCCTAATGTATTTTGAGTTTGACTCAAAATTTCAAGAAACTCCTGTCCATTGTCTTATATTTAAAAGTGTGGATTGCTATTCTTCAATCAACTCTTTTGACAGTCGTCTTACCTCCCGCTTTCCCTGCCACTGGCTCTTTCAGTTCAGTCTATTTGCATAAATGTGTTGAAAATACGTTTGTCGATCTGTTACATCACCAAATGTCTAGTTTTCCGATGAGTACAAATGCAGGCCACAGTTTTTGAAATGACGATTTTCAAGCGCTTTTCCGCGGTGTTGATATGCGTTGCGGCCTGTCTTCGTCGATGTCTGAGCTCCTTTAAAACTGTTGATTTATATAAAAGATTCTTTTTTTCTTGATTTGATTATTCACGTACATCGTGACTTGGCCAATCGGAAACTTTGTAATGCTGTTCATTCTGAGTCTGTCAGCTGTGCCAACTACCCCTATTTACAAGTATGTCAATACTTGTTAACTTTGATAGACAACTTGTTTCTTCGTTTTCAAATGAGGTTTTCAATTATATTTCGGAGACATTCGAGGCTTCATATCTTTGAACTTTTTATTTAAAATTATTCAGCTGACCGATTGCTTGGCGTTTTGTCTTTGATCCAGTGTTACAATTAGCCGCACGCTATATTTTTGGGGTATTTAGCTCGTCTTTACCACGTTGTCAATTTGATAAATAACTTAATGAATTTTGACAGTTCTACTTAAAATCTATTTCTGGTTGCCATCCCTCTGCATGAGAACCCTTGTTTGAAATAGGAATTCGTCATTTGCATGTGTGAAAGACTCCCTCAATTTCTATCTTTTATTTGTTTCAGTCGGCGAAACTGAAGTTTTCGACGTTTAAGGTAATTCTAATGTTTAAACTACCAAAACTTGCCGTCTCACTTGTTAAGGGTGCATCCGTGCATCGTTCAATGTTAAATTTCACCGATTTTATCTATTAGTATAAGCTCTTGGATGTTGGTAATAAACGGTCGTATTTCAGTTTAATCAGGGCAAAAGACAAACTTGTGTTTGTGGCGCCAGACTGACCGATCAGCTGTTCGATGTCAAGTGTCCATTAGGAACCTCGCGTGTAGTGATCGTTGTTAGAGCCAAATTATAATTGTTTGGGAGACTAAGATAACCTTAGCAATTCGATCTCTTTTGAATAATTAAGGTTGGAAACTCGTGCACTCTTGCATGAAGTTTTTGCCCAGGACTTCAAAATTTCCTATTCGCTATTGTTATTATTGCTTCAAAGGTTGCAATTATTTCACCAGAAAGTTAATTTGAAAATTCATTTTTGTGGTCATGTGCATATTTTTCCTGTTGCTAAGTGGTGCTAATTATTTGAATTGTATGTGGTTCTCTGATCCTTGTCGTTCTTGAGTGGATTTGAGTCGATGAAGTGAACCGCAATGTACTTTTGTATTCTTTTTTGTGGCTCAACAATGAAGATACAACTGATTGCTTTTCACGTATTGCTTCAATGAAATATTGAGACTGTTTTCGTGCTAACGAAGCATGGAAAAAATGTATGTCTGTTATGTATCGTGGATCGCAAGACGTGATTAAGAAAGAAATTTTCTCGCTTCACATTTCCATCTATGTGCGGGTGCTAAGCTCTGTTGACCTGTCTTTTGGCGTTGTCGAGACAAACTTTAACACATTCTTGAAATTAGTAATTTAACTTAAGAGCTAATGCATCTCAGCTGGAGTGTTTAGGATCCTTTTGTAGTTTGTTTGATATCTCGCTAAAAGGTTATCTGTTAAGGAGTGTCTTAATTCAACAGCAGTGATCTTTTGTAAATGCCGTGAGGCTTGTTTCGCTTTCATTTACGTTTCTCGCAATGGCCTTCTTAAGCATGTTGCGTGCGATTTGCCCCTTGAAGGCATGGGATTAAATCCAACATGACGTGTAGACATCATTAGGGGCATTTCACACTATAAGACACGAAGGCACCTTCAAATGAAATACACTGTACATTTAAAAGGAAGTTTTCTAGAATCCATCACGTTTCCACCTCATATCTCACTTATACGAAAATCTAAATACCGTTACAATGAAACCTCTCAAGCAGATCCTTACCAGTTCAAATATGGTGTTCTGCATCTGCCCTCAACTTAAGCTTTTTGTTTTACTGATTCAAATCCGCTCCAGCGTAAGTTATCCAGAGCTTTCTTTATATGTTGTGGAACTTTTATCTGTGCGTCATAAGGTTTCAAGGAAATTCCTTAGATTCCATCTGATAATTTGCATATCAAGTGTTGTTGCTCTAGTGGGTGAAGTGAATCACCCAAACATCCTTTCCATTGGTGCCAAACTGAATTAAAGTAGAACCAAAACGTTTTGTAATCGCCGTAATCTGTGCGAACACCGCCTAGAATTTCATTGAAACAACCACCGATCACCTTTGGCGTGGAGATCGCTAACTTTCATTGAAGATCAAAAAAAATTACCGAATTTATTTCAATACTTAAGTTAATCTAGAGTAATTTGCAATATCAAGTAAGGTTGAAAAGAATCTGTCCAACGAATGTAGTTGTGAGTATTTGATCTTTTTAATATCAATAAGTTTCCATGTATATTGGCCCTTTAGAAAATTGCAGGTTTGTGATGTTAAGAAATAATACTAGCATGGTTGAAATTGGGCTGCAAATTGCACAGCCTTTTTCTCTATTTTTCAGTTATCTTCGCCCCAATTTGCAATTATTCAAATGATGAGAAAATTGCTTTTTCCTTAGCGGAAACGAAAAACTTACTGGGTGGTCAGATTGTTGATGAGTGTTCTAAGAAAGGGAAGATGAAGATGAAGAAACTTATGCCCAGGCTTATAGCCCCTTAGTTTTTTCTTTTACTTTCACTCTCCCTTATCGAAAACTAAGTATCCATTCAGGTGTTACTCCCGATAAACGACATGACCTGGCATTCCCGAGCATTTTTCGCAAGAAAAATACGAAAAGAACAATCGTAAAAACCTGCTTAACTCTGATCCTTATAGGGAATTTCTCAAGGTGAGGAGTAAAATGCGTAACAATTCAATGAGTTTTTGTGATGTTTATTTCAGATCCCCTACTTCAATTAATAATTCAAATGGTTTCATAAATCCTTCTTATCATTAGATTGTAGAAACTAGGTGTGAAATAAGATCGATCAGTCAGTTTAGTTAAAATTGAACTTTGGAAATTAGTTGAGTCAGATGAAAGAACCGCAGAAATTTACGTAGAAAGAGTGGTGACCAAAAATGTGAGTACATCGAATACAGTAAAGTTAACTTGCTCACAATGTACCTCACTACGGGCTAGTGTACTTCTTGCGTACAGTACACGAATGTGGTCTTGATAATCAAAGACATACATACATATCAGTGGACAGTGGGTTGAAATAAAATGAAATATAAAAGAAAAGAGGCCGTATTTAGACAATGCTTTTGTATAGTTCCAAATGAAAATGTTATGTCTTCTTGGCAAGCACAATCAAAATCTAGATTAAAAAGTTGGCAAGTTATCTAACATTTAAATCTTTGTTATCCTGCCTTGATTCAACTTACGTTTGCAAAGGTTAAATATAGATTTTAATCTTCCTTCATTTCAAGCAATTTTTTTGGAAAACAACATTTTTTCTTGTTTGATTTAGTCAAGACAGGCCTCTTTCGTCAAGCTTTGTAGCAACAGGAGGCTTCGACAGTTTTTAAAGACAGCGATACGAACAAGTTATTATGTTTAGTTCAAGCGAGGAAACATAATTTGTTGAATGAAGTTGAGAGAATGTAATGCTCAAACTGACGTTTAGTATTGACGTATCATTGCAGTCCGTCAATCAGATTTGCCGAAATGGAAATTTGACGCATTATTGAACACTGCTTCAGAATTCTCTGTATTCACAAAACATTTTCAAAACTCAGAGTGTCGTTTCGTCAGCTTTTTTACAGTTTAATTTACTCATGTACTATATTTCGTTTAAAATTGTAATCGAAATAAATTTTGTTCTATTTTGTTATCATTTAAAGACAAGGACAAATTTTATCTTAATTAAAACGAGAACATAAGGCACACAATATTTTTAAAATTTATTATTTCTTTTTGCGTTTTAAACGTTCACAGGACGAAAATATGAATACCTTCCATTTTAATCCTTTTATTTTCGAGGTGAGGCGTGCGATCAAATCTTGGTCTAATATCATATGCAAATTTCAGCTATCTTTCATTGTTTAATGAAATTTTCTCAGAGTTTCAAACTTCATAATCACTTAATTTGACACTGCCCTGAAACGTCAAGTATCCCTCGATGAAATCCAAAATCTGGCATTCAAGGTTTTTAGGTTATAGCAGGAGCTCATGGTTATAAGTATTCCCTACAATTGTCAATTAATCATTGAAAGCCGTTTGAAATAATCATAGACCAAGAAATTAACTTTACTTTAATCTCAAAGTTAGAAAGAAAAATAACTGCGTCCTTAAATATTGTATTTGTATTCGATGCCTTCAACATATAATTTTTAGATAATTTTGGAGTTTTTTTGGGAGATGCACTCACCTTTTTCAAATATGATTTCCTTTCCCTGTGGTTCGGCCGCGGTTACTTGCGAATTACCTAGTAAAAACACAAGCCATGACATGAATAATAAATCATGACAGGGCGTTTTATATCTCATTCCCTCGTAGGAGAACCTCATAGGTGAGTTTGAAAGACTCCCTACCGACTTTTTCATATCTAAAAAATATGTCTTTGTTGCTACTGCAAGAGAAATTACAATTATGTTTTTTCGACTTGCAATAGCGTTTTGCTGCCAAGTGACATTCGTGGATTAATTAGTACATGCTATGATACATTATTTTCCTATACATCGTTTTGAATACAAACTTTATTTGAAGGAAAACAACATATTGCATATTTTGAGACCCTAACTTAAAAAGTTCTAGTCCAGAATGGGTGTGAAACAATATACTCATCGTAACAATTTCTTAATAAATTTTACGTAGTTTCAGTAGAACAATGAAAATATCTTACATGAGATTACAAAATAAGTAATATCTTGATTGTTTATTCTGACATGATATGAATTTTTAAGTGTTCCGTCTTACAGTTTCTGTTTTACTTTGTGGACATAACATCTATCTGATAAATATTTTTGATCAGTTCTTGGGGGGGGGGGACAAGAGTGGGTCGGAATTCTTGGAGGATGGGAAAAATTGAAAAAGTTCAAACTCTTCAAATTTTGTTATTACAATTTCCACGTAATAGGTTGCAGTGCGGTTTTACCTGGCACATTTTGGAACTCTTATCATTTATATCGATAGAGCTCTTTTTGAAATGTGATGATTTTGAGATCTCAGATCTCAAGCCAAACTAAATCGAGTTAAAACAACACCTATCGAAAACATGTGTCATAGTACACGTATATATTGCACTTCGATCCTTTAAGCTCTCTTAATTTCCTCACGGTTCAAACACAATTTGCAGCAAATTCTCTTAACTGATTTGCAGGGAGAGACTGCATAGCTGCGATATTAGTAAGGAAGAATTACTTTTGAGATCTGAGGGGCTTGGAATAACATGGAATACCCAAACAGTGTTTGGCCATGCCACCACTTACTCTCGCTGAACTACTACAGTGACCCGAGCCATTCTGTACAAATCTCTGCCAGCGCTGTAAATATTTTTCGGTTAGTGATTTTCTAGGTCGTTGAAAGACCACTTCACGAATCTCGTCATGTAAAACATAGCCTAAATCTTTTTTCTCGATCGTGAAATGCTGGTCTCAGGAAAACCGAAAAATAACATGGAAAACTTCGCTATATATTAGGATTGTGGCATTTTCCTTAACCCAGTGGAAGAACAAGGCTTTTAATTCGTTACAAAATAAGCTCTCTCAAAAAATACAATATATTTGTGAACGCCAAGCAAAAAACGAGACGCCAAAAAAAGCCATTTTCTTCGAGGCGATTTCAGTGTTGTTAAGTTGATACGATCTTCTAAAACATTGTGATCAGTAATCCTTCAGTGCCGGTTGTAAGCAATTGTGAAACCAACGTACATCGATCGTTCCGACTTTAATCGTAATACACTCGAAGAACGATCGACGTCGAGCTATTTATCGATTGATTTGAATGTGGAACAATCAGACTTGGAATTATCTCTCCATAGAACGAAGTGACCGGATTCCAATATAACTAACACAGGTAATGGACCCGTAAAGACTTTCCCGTTTCGGTAACGACTAACATAGAATGCGTACTACAACTCTATCAAAAGTTCGTTGAATACCCCTAGAGTAATTCCTTGCTTATGCCATTAGGCCATGTGGATTGGAAGGAACTCCGTGTGCTAATAAATCATATTTTGCGACAACTGCGTAATCTATTTTTGAACGATTGATAACTGGCAAGGAAGATCTAAGTTTCTTGTTCTACTTAGCTTTGCATATATCTATGTAAATGTTGTTCCTACAATGAACAGTTACCGATTTACAAACTTACCATTTCTGATAGATATTCAACTTGAATTACTTTCCATCCCTTGCATATTCTATACAGGGGTAAGGGTGTTGGTATTTAAACTAAGCGAACACGAAATTCGTGACCATTTTGTTTAGTTAACTTTAAGAGAAGTAACCGCAGGGAGATAACGTTTAGTTCATTTTGCGACAATGTCACGGTAAAGTTTTGAGTCAATCACTCAACAATAAACATTTTAAGTATGAGGAAAGAATATTCATCTTTACTTTCCATATTTTTAACCGTTCTGTTAATTTATTTTAAGTCTCTGAAGCTTCAATGGGGTGTGTACTGTCTGTTTTCGCACGAAAAGTAACTTCTGTGCGTTTTTTCCCAAATTTTGTTTGTTGTCTCGTAGTCTCACTCGACTTTGTTGCCTCAATTGAGCTATTTATACTTTTAGTTAAATAAATATTTATGGAGCCAGTGTAAAGGGAACCCTGCGGATTTAACACAACTAAGACAAAAGGAAAAATTGAACATGTTAGTAAACTGTACTCATGGTGGTTTCAGCCGAGTTATACAAAATATGGAGCCCTTTTGGCTTAGAGGGACAAGGCTCTAGAAGTATTTAATTATTTCCTCAGTTTCTTTGCAATTTGGAACGGTTTTTAATCTTAATGAAGAATTAACAGATTCTCGGTCCAGTTAAAAACTTGGCGAACGTAACTGAGTATCCCAAAATCTGACGTGTGATTAATTTGAGTGTACGAAGGACTTGCTTGGTAAATAATGATAAGTATTCTCCCATGAGAACATTCAATCGCCGTTGATATACTTCTTTGCATCAAAGAGGCACTACGTTACGGTATATGGGCAAACGGATGAGCCGATCAGACCAAAGCAAGTCGATGTTAACAATGCATGTTTACTTTTTTGGTTTTCAGGAGATTTAAGTGATTTGTGGTCTGAAGCCTTGTTCTGTCCTGTTCACCGAGTTCGAAAGCTTTTTTTGCTTGTGTAAATCATTAGCCTTGCACTTCAAAACCAGCTTCTCTGTTTGGAAAATATTATGTCTTCCGAGATTCTTACTAGGATACACAATAATTTAAGTTTTTAAAAAGCACTTTTTCACGTTCAGAGTTCTTAAGATACTTTGATTATTTCTTACAGTAGTCTCGTTAGATGTGTTTCAGAGATAGGCCGTGTGATTTTGTGAAGTTCAAGGGCGTTGAGCACCAAAAAAAAAAATTCCAAACCTTATGGTCACAGAAAATTAACGTAATTAATATAACCGGTATCGGAGCAATTGTACGTGATATATACTGCAGTTTTCTTTTAACTGGTACTTCCCTGCGGGAGAAATTTCTAGAGGGTGCATTAATTTTCAACAGTTAATGTCAGGTTCGACTTCGCCGCTGTTCCTGTGCTATTAATTCTTATCTAGATATCATTATTCTTTCTAGATTTGACGTAGTGACGTTGTCGAAATTCTGCTGGTGATTCCCAGCAGTAGCGTTTTATTTTGTTTTCAAATTTACCTCCCATGTAGCGCTTTGAAAACGTTTGACGTAAATGTAATCTTGCTATCATATTAACCTTGGTATCTATTTAACCTTGCCATTCTAATCTTTGACAAAGAAGTAAATAATTAATTTCATCGCTTTTCTGTTGGAAAAATTCATTTTCTGCTTATCTCTGTACTTACTGCTGTTCCATGACCTAAATTAGTAAATAAGGGCAACACTGCAAAGCGTCTACGTTCTTGTGGAAAGGTCCTCTAGTCAGTAAACTCTTTTTGTTTTTAAATACGGAAGGAGTAGGCCAGAAACCATGAGATTTTCTCTCCACTACTCAAAATGTTCTGAACAACATTCAGCATAGGAAGGCCTTTCTACCCTTGATCGGGTTTATTTTAGACATCGTTGGCATTGGCATGGGTTTTTTTTTTTAAATTTATTTACTTATTTTTTTTTTCGGGTGGGGCTGCTTTTATGGATCTTGACAAGTACGTTGAAAGAAATTTCTTAGCAGTTTTCAGTCGCCTTCATTCACCTTACGTTTATCTACCTCTACAGCCCGGACCTGGAGTTCGAATCTAGACATAAGAATGACAGGTACCCTAAATTGCCGACAGGTCTATCTCATAAAAGTATCAAGTTTTTTAAAGCTTAGTAGATAGCTAACGTGGTACTGAAGCAATAATAATTATCCAAAATCTGGTATTCTGGTGCACAGGCACTTCAGTGAGTTAGAGCAGCAGACATAAAAAGAATTTCCATACCAATCACCTTTTTCGGTTCCAAAGAGAACTCTTTTTTAGCCTTTGAACTGTGGTAGGATTGGGAGTCACGAGGAAATCAGATCTCTCTCTTTCATGTACCTGCCAATAGGTGTGCTCTCTCAAGTTCCATAAGCTATAGAAGATCGGATTACACATGTTTTGCAGTAATCTTGTCCACCAATGTAACATGCATAGAAGGTACATAAGAATGACAGGTACCCTAAATTGCCGACAGGTCTATCTCGTAAAGATATCAAGTTTTGTAAAGCTAAATAGATAGCTAACGTGGTACTGAAGCAGTAATATTTATCCAACATCGACAGCTAATGACACAGATTTGAGTTATGTCATGAATGTAAACTAAGAGGAATCGTTCATCTGGATTTCTGACACTGATTTCGACTCCTGGAAACCTCTGCTCAGTGCTTTTCTTCCAATCGTGAATGTTGATCTTTCTCATTTCATCAAAATTTCTTTAGTCCCAGAGCAGTTGGTTTTGTAGAGAATGCTCGGCCACAGCAATTACATACTAGATTAAAACTACAATAAAAAGTAACCAAGACGCGTAAACGCGATATACGAATGTTTGTCTATTGTCAATTCTAGATTAAAGCGTATTCCGCGTTTTCGCGTCTTTTTCGTTGACACAGTTATAGGCATAGTTTTTGAGCTGATAGACAAAGGCAGATGGATTTGGAAATCGAAGGGGCAGCATTTTATTGCCGAAGAGCCTATAGCTTTATTTCTCCCCGGTTTATGGATCGAAAATACAAGGCTGAAAAATCCTATAATATATTTATCTGTAAGAAGTAGAAAGCTTTTATGGAAAATCACAATTAAAACGTGTTTACTTTGGTAGCTCATATGATTTTAGCGACTTTGCCTGAAAACCTGCTATGAGAGCGGAAGCGGAACTTGACTTAAATTATGCTTTGTTCTAGTGCTTGGAAATAGAAATAAGCTTTGACGAATCGAGAAGGTATTATGAGAGTCCCGCTGTGTGTACGATCTGACGTAAACTTCGAAAAGCGTTTTCGGCATCATTCGAAAACGAAAATTGCGAGCAATGAAGATGCTCTTTTCGTGTCGTGTACCTAAACAGTTGAGGCTATAGTTGATAGTATTCATGTTTTGAGCAAATAGTGCTGAAGATTAGGAAGTCCACAGATGATTAAAATTTAACGTCTTAAGACTCTGACTTCAGCTGTTAACACAAGATGACAAATGGTAATTTGCACAAGCAGAGACAAAGGAATAGAAATAAAGCTCTATTAAAATTTACCTCAAATCATATGAAGTTAATTTTCTTTTTTGTCTGTAGTTGAATTTTATATACGAATATAACCTTACATTGAACGTAACCATCTTTTATTTTTTTTTTAATTGCATTTTAGCGCATACCTTCTCCCATCGTTTTTTTTTTAAACAAAATTGATATTGGTTTTCATCAGTGCAAATTAAAACCATTTTTTCCAGTTTCTACTTTCACCTCAATTACGAGAACATTTCTTTGTTGTTAACAAACCTCTCAGTCGATAGATCTACGACTTGGTTTCTTTGTGATCTCTGAGACCTTAGTTCATCTGCACGTAAAAGTAGTGGGGCCCCGTTTGTATAAAAGGTTGATATGTCTCCGATTCTTGAGCCAACGCAATTTGAAATTGTCTTCTTATTTCCGCTTTGCGTGCTCTGCAAACGTTGGTACGTTAAACTGCGCGTGCGTCAGCTTTTAGCAAGCCTCAGTGACAATTCAAGTTGCATCAGTGTTTCAGAAACTCGTTGTTTCATCATGCAACAAAGCAGTAACCCTCATTTCCAATCGGAGTCTCAGTTTTCAAAAGCGGTTGGCTTTTTTAAATGTTTTCTTTAGGAATTATAAGCCGACACTGCCCACTAATTGCGGGGTTACTGTGAAACTTCTTTCGAATGGTGTAAGGGGCTTAATTAATGTCTCGTAAATTTCAGGGTAATTGCACCGAGGAAGCCTCATTTCCAGCAACCTATACTAACTTTTCACCCCAGCGTTATCGAGTGTCAGTGTAGTAATGCAAATTTGTCGGCTTTCGTCAACTTCTACGTAAAACACATCTTTCGTACCACAAAAGAAATTTTTTTTTTCATGTTCCTTTGTTCAGTTACGCGCTGAAAAGATAATAGTTGTCAGGTAAATAAAGTAGCCATGGTGTCGACGGTACTTTAGTTCGAATCCTCGAATGCATATTTTCCTACAAGATGACTCCGGGAAGCTTTGGTTTATTTGCATTACATCTTCAGTATAAATTGAGTAACTTTGACTTATCCCACACTGAGTGCCTATGGGGTTAATGGAGCCAATGCTTTCAAATTTCACGTTGGTACAACCATGGGCTTAATATTCTTGAAACCAACTTATCAATAATTCTTAGCTGCGACAATTGAAACGAATATCTCATTTAGTCATTCTTGACGTGTTTGAAAAGGAAGCGTTTCTCTTTAACGATATTCAAATACAGCTATTCGGTTTTTCAGAGAGGTTTGAAGTGGTTAGCTACGTGCGTTGTTGAAGTTGGAGACACATCAGTGATATATATCCCAATGTACATGGTTAGCGGTCAGCACTACCAACGGTTGTCAATGTTTGCCGATTTTCGACTTCTTTTGACAATCTTAGCTATAGGCCGCCATGAGGGTCCACGGAAAGAAATCCTTTTGTAAGCCGACTGGGTGATCTATATTAGTGGAACTTCAGAAATCGAGATCAGCTTGTTGGCTACCGGTAACAAATGCCGTCTTGTTCGGGAGTATAACATTCAAAATTTTGATTGAAAAATATATGTCATTTTTTATTCTAAATTTTCAATTTTGTGTATCATACGAACATTTTTAATTTTG